GCAATAGCGAAAATCAGACCTGAAAAAAATCAGGCCTGTACGGGATTCGAACCACTGACCTCTGCGATACTAGTGCAGCGCTCTACCAATTGAGCTAACAAGCCAACTGGGAGCAGGCCGTTAAGTTGATTCGTAATAAACCCGTGAAAGTGATAAATCGGATACAATGAATATATGAAGTTCATATATTTTGAACTGCGGTATTAGATACGTATGATGCACGATTAAGCGTTAAGCGTTTAACTCAGTAAATAGATTTCACGTTGATCAAAGCACACTATGATTTTGAATGAAAGGAGTATGTTGTGTCGTCAGGAAACGAAACACATTATGAATTTGACTGAAAGAAGTATGTTCTACCTTGACGAACTAGGTGAAACACTCTGACGAAGGGCTCTTACGAAGGGCTCTGACGAAGGGCTAACGCTCAAAACGTCAGCTATTTAATTCTTTACGGCGGCCAATTTACAATTTCAACGTAGTTGATATTACCAAATTACCTTGTTACCCCCACTGATGCAGCATCACAGTTTCTTTGGAAACTAGCCCCATTTACTCATAGGTGAAAAACTTTTGGTTAAGATGGGACGAACTTGTTGCAATTCAGGGGCAAACTTGCAATGGGACAAATCTACCAGATAACTTTAGAAGCAGAGTCACTCAGCACCTATTTTGTTCAATGGCTGCACGAAACGATTTTTCATTTGCACCTTCTATTTTGCGTTGCAAGATAGTTTTTAAGATACCTAGAGGGAGATAAAACTTGACAGAAATTCTGCGGAATTATTCCCACTTTTTCTAAACGTTATTAGGTGTTACCAAGCTGATTCTGTCCCGTGAAAAAAAGATGGAAATCGATTACTAACTTGTACTACTATCAGCACATCTTCTTAGAACGTCGGGACAGGGTCGTGTCTGATCCCTAAGCCCTTTGCATTAGCGGCTAATACCACTCGGGGGTGGATTGGTACATGTCCGCGATTGTCAAAACTCTATCTCATTCTAATTACTTTCACACTTAGTTTCACTTCTTTTTTATACAACTAAATTTAACCAATAATTTACATTTGATAATGGTGGATGTCGTCGCCGAAACATCATGTTTTAGTCGCGTTACTTTTTATTATGAAATGTTATCTTAAATCTTTCCTTATCAGAAGTCTAAAGAAAGGGAGCTAAACACTCGCCCCTGAATGGATCTCCCTTGAATGCCATTTTCTGTAGCAAGTTCCAAAATGACCTGATAGCACTACTGTTATAGTTCTCCCTTTTCCGAAATCCAAATCAAGGAAATAAGTCGTATCCAATCTGTTAAGCCTTTTCTTTTTCCCAAAACCCTGGAAAAACGAGTGTGTCCTAAAAGCTGTTTTTGTTTAAATGCTCATATTTTTTTATAAAATAAATAACAACCAAAATGAGATGGTTATTGTGGGAATGGGAATTAAATGGAAATTTAGCAATGTACATTGGCTCTTCTTGTCCACGGTTTCCAGGTCGAATAGGAATTTGGAATGTCGGTTTTTGTGAAGGGAGTAAAACCCCCAGGGCAAGGACAATGACCAACGACAAACTCAACCCACATATGAAGCCAGGTCCAGGAAAAAAAAAACCCGGGCCAGAGTGGTGGGAGGCGAACACTCTGACCACGATAAAATGTGAACTTTTAATATGATAATTGTGATATGATTGTGATACCAGACTAATTAAAAAACGGAAAGTGCTTTTGTCTTCAGGGAACTAAAGCTGTTTAAATTTGTCTACCTCAGCCATTTGTAGCGCATTTCGCCCACACCAAGTGTAGTTGCAATGATCTTCACTCATCAGGTTATACCTGTCTGTTTGGCGTTCGAGTGTAACACCCGTTTGGGGGAAATCTCTTATAATATCGGTCTTACAGAATTGTACAGGTCCTGGTTGTTCTAAGGCTGGATAACACTTAACAAATGGTAAACACCACAGCGTACACTATTGAGTTATGGATGCACGCGGGAGGTTGCTAAGCACGAAAGAAGCGTAAGAGTCGCTCGAGGCGATAGCCGAGAGCGACTCTAGCTTCTTGAGTGCTTAGCAAACCTCCCAAGTGCATCCATAACTCAATAGTGTACGCTGTGGTGTTTACCATTTGTTTTATAACATAACATTGATACATTGTAGCTAAAGAGTTCCCTTTTATTTAACAAATCTTACGTGACCAGAAAAAACAAGCGCGCGCGGAAAAATAGTCTTTGCATTTGCTCACGTCAGCAGCGTACACCCATGGGGAAATGGGGGACGCTAAATTGACCAATCAGAGCGCGCGCTTTACTTTGGTTATGTTATAATATCCACTGGGTAAATTTCTATCCAGTGGATAGCGGAAAACGTTTTGTTGACACTTAGCATAATCCACCCTTTGCACAAATGTGCCCGAACTTTTTTAGATGTAGCATGACTTACCAGTCCTTTGTGACTTCGAAGAGGACAGGAACATCAACAACGTACACCATAAAAATATCATATCTCTGCTTGAGCTTTAGACTAAAACATAATGAAAACGTGTATTAGGAACCAGTCATTCATTATCGCCTGAAGGGGGGGAGGGTAGCGATTTTGGGAGGGATCACTAGTTTTTAGGGAGAAGGGGGGGGCAGTCGTTGCCAACAGAGTATAAAGGTCACTACAGAAAATCGAATACAAATTAAATGCCTATGAGTGGAAGGAATCATGAGAATGGTCCCCCCTTCCCAGGTGATAAACAATAACCTGTCCCTTGATAATCCTCAAAACAGAACCAACGACTCTAAAAAACCAATTAGCAACTATACGCCTAGACGAACTGCCCAGCAAGTTTACCAAATTTCAAATTGAAAATCTAACCGATTTATAAAGTACTAGAAAATTGGAAAACAGTAATGAAGAAAATTCCTTGAAAGCAATACATCTGACCTCAATTGTTTTTGGCGTGTATCTTCTCGATTCCTTTTCCTGTCAATTATTACATTATCCCAATTGCTACCGTGGTTAGGCCTGTCACGATTGTGCAGGGCAAATTTTAAACAATTTTTGGCGTTTGGAGCAACTTTTTCCGTTACAAGCAACCCTAGCAACCCTAGCAAGCCTAGCTACCCTAGCAACCCTAGCTACCCTAGCAACCCTAGCAACCCTAGCAACCCTAGCAACCCTAGCTACCCTAGCTACCCTTGCAACCCTAGCAACCCTAGCTACCCTAGCTACCCTAGCAACCCTAGCAACCCTAGCAACCCTAGCAACCCTAGCAACCCTAGCTACCCTAGCAACCCTAGCAACCCTAGCAACCCTAGCAACCCTAGTAACCCTAGAAACCCTAGCAACCCTAGCAACTACCCTAGCAACCCTAGCTACCCTAGCAACCCTTGCAACCCTAGCAACCCTTGCAACCTCGAGCAATTTTAGCCTTTCTGGGCATGAAAAAACAATTTCATAGTAAGACTTCAATATATGCGAATTTCTTGAATGTTTATCAACCTTTTGAATACATAATCTGTCAAGTTGCAACGTTTCGCAGCCCCATTTCGATCCTTATCAGAACCAATGTGCTCCTGTCTTTTTCTGATATTATTTGTTCCGTGAGACCCGAGGTTATCCTTAGTTTTGATTTG